AGATTGGGGATCAGCTGAGAGTTTGGGACAGGAAAGGTAGATTTGAGAATCATCAGCATAGAGATCTAGTAATGAAATCCATGGGAGTTGATGAGATCATCAAGTGAAGTGGTCTAAAGGGAGAAGAAAAGACGGCACAGGTCAGAACCCTGAGGGACACGCATGGCTAGAGGGTATGATCTGCCTAAAAGTGGTTTGGTGTCCTAAAAACTTAGAGAGAAGAGAGTATCAAGGTGAAAAGAGTGATCAGCTGCAGAGAATAAAGATTGAGAAACACCCTTGGATTTTTCTGCAGTTCTTGACACAGAGCCTTACATCTCTGGCCTTAATGTATATATAGCTTATTGTCCACAGGTCATCATTCCACCAAAACTGTTCTCCAAAATTACCAATGATCTCCTGAAGCCTTTGACAATGTTGATCACCCTTTCCCCTTGGTACTCTCTTCTCTTCAGGGGTCTCCATGGCATTTGCAAGAAGGAGGAGTGGACCATGGTGTAGTGGCGAGTTTCATTGTAAGCCACTGTCATGTCCTTGGTCTGTTAATGCAGCCTGTCTAAACCAGTTCAGTCAAGTTCAATGTGACTCAATCTGGTCCAAACTGGTTAAATCCTGTCCAAACCAGCTCAATCTACTTCAAACTGGTTCAATCCATAAACCTGTTTAGTTCAGTCTGATAAATTTAATGCAGTTCAATCCAGAAGGAGGAACAGGTTATATGAGACATAAAATTGTTTTATTTTTAACATGCTATGTAGGTAGAGATATCCAGTGGGTAACTGGAGGTCTTTTGTTCAGGGGAGAGATCAAGGCTGGAAGTTTTCTGAATAGCTATGACAGCCAAAACCTTGGTTATAAATAAGATAGGCTGACAGGAGAAATAGTATATAGAGAGAATATAAAAGGGACAATGACAGAACCTTGGGGAGTCAAAAATAGACAAGCAGTTTGAAAAGAAATATTTAGAAAAGATAAAAACCAGGGAAGTGTCTAAAGTATCAGATACAAAGGGAGAAGATAGAAAGGACAGAAATAATCAAAAGTGCCAAACACTATAAACAGGTCAAGAAGAGAGAAGACTGAGAAAAGATATCGATTTCATGATTAAGTCATCGGTCACCCGTGCCAGAGAAGTTTCTGTAGAGTGATGAGGATGGATGCCAGATTATAAGAAACTGAGAAGAGGGTAGGTAGTAAGGAAGTGGAGCCACTGGATGTAGAAAACTTTTTCCAGTGGTTTGGTAACAGAGATGAGAGAGATGAGACAGTAGCTAGGTGGAATGCAAAGTCAAGGGAAAGGTGTTTTGGGTTTTTTTTTTATTTCTTAATGACTGAGGCATCCCTAACTACCTGTGTGACTGCTGGCAAGTCACTTAACCTTTCTGAGCCTGTTTCCTCATCTCCGAATGAAAAGGTTGGACTTGACAATCTCTAAAGAGTTCTCCAGATTTAGACTTGTGTTTGCAGAGACAGCTTGGTAGGTGGGAAAATACTGGCTCTGGAGCCAAAGGACCTAGCTTCATATCCTGTCTCTGGCAGTTATTACCTATGTGCCTCAGTTTCCTCATCTGCAAAATGAAGAGTTTGTACTAGATGTTGTCTGAAGTCCTTTTCAGTTCTGGATCAATAATATCTATGATATAATTAACTTCTACTGATGTCAAAACTGTCAAACTACTAATCTCCCCACCACCATACCTCTAGAAAACTAGCTAGGCCCTTTAAAATTCTACTGGGAGAAAAATAAAAAGCATATACACTTCCTTCTCTACTGAACTTTAATCTCAGTCCTAGAACGTCATTGCTGAAAGAGATTTTAGAGACCATCAAAATCTATTGTTCCACTTGGCTTCCCATTGTTTCTGAACAAATTCTGCACCCCTAGCCCTGGCATTCAAAGACTCAACAAACTATTTCCATCCTAACTGCCCAGCCCTATCTCATACCCTTTACATATTCTCTTCCAGCTTAACTGGACTCCTCTTCATCCTGCTCGTTCCTATAGCTACGGCTTTTTTCATATTGTCCCCAGTCCAGTGCCTGAAGTTTATTTTTCTTTTGTTTCCATCTATTGAAGTACCTCCCTTTCTTCCAAGTCTAACTTGGGTCCCACCAATTTGAAGAAGCCTTCCCTGGATGCTCCAGATGCCTCTGTCCTCAGATTCCTCCCAGCACTTTTGTGGAACTCTCCTGATCTCTCTTTCTCTTACAGCACAGCTATTTTCATATTTGCCTCCACCCTCCCCACCACCACCACCACTCCCATCTTATAAACTCCTTGGAAAAAAAGACAGCTAGGTGGAAGGGTGAGCAGAGTGGTAGACCTGGAGTCAGTAAGTCTTGAATTCAAATCTAGCCTTAGACATATAACTGTGGACTAGTCACTTAATCTCTGCTGCCTGTTTCTTCATCCATAAAATGGAGATAATAATAGATTTGTTATTAAGATCAAATGAAATAATATTTGTAAAGCACTTTGCAAACCTTAAAGCCCCAAGTAAATGTTAGCTATTATATTATCTATATCCCCAGAGTGTAGCATTGTGCTTATTTATCAAGACACTTAATTTATTGAGTTTAACTGTCATGTTCAAAGAGAAAACCAAAGCATAATGTGGGAAAATGGTTTGCTCAAGGTGACCCACTGAGTTTGTCACAGTTGTGGTGATAGCAACTTAATGAAGAAAGGAAGGGGAAAACTTGCACATATATCAAGAATAATCATGGGATTAGAACTGGAAGGAACCTTAAGAATTATCTAGTGTAACGCACCTTGTTTACAGATGAGGAAGCAGTCCTAGATATGAGAAATGACTAGCTCAAGGACATGAAGCTCATTATCAGCACAGCCAGAATTCAAATCCCAATTGCCTGGTTCAAAATCAATGCCAAAAACTTGGAAGTCATAGAAGGAGAGAGATTGTTTTGCTGTTTGCCCTGAAGCAAGCTTTCAAGGAGAGAATGGGAGGGAAATAAAAAGTCATACACCATCATGTTGCCCCAGAGCCTCTAGAATGACCCTCTAGACTCTTGAGCTTCTTATGTTCAACTTTATTGAAGATGAACTTTTTTACATTAGTCAAATGATTACTAGATAATATCATGGAGTCCATCTGCATCCCCTCAGCTGATATTCCTGACAGAAATCCAATGGAAATCACTTTGCTTGAATGGCCTGTTGCATTACTACATAGGGAATATCTGTTCCTCTGATTAAGGAATTCAGTGCAGCAGCCCTTATCCAACATTCTGAATGTGCATTGCCCTGTTTCAGAAGGGTGGGATTTGGGGATAGAATTTAAAATTACTTTTGCTGTTTCTTTTAATTGAACTTGCTCAGTTTGTTTCCACCACCCTGGTGCAGTCCCTCATCCCCTCACAACTGAACTATTGCAATGGCCTTCAAACTATTGCAATAGTCACCCTGCCTCAAGTTTCTCCCCACTCTACTCCATCTCCACTCAGACAAAATTAATTTGTCTGAAAAAGAGATCTGACCATGTCACCTCTCTCCCATTCAATAAACTCCTATGGCTCCCTATTACCTCCAACATCAAATATAAAATCCTCTGTTTGGCTTTTAAAGCCCTTCATAACCTGACCCCTTCCTGCCTTTCCAGTCTTCTTACATTTTATACCTTGTCATATACAGTGGGGTCCAGTGACACTGACCTCCTTGATGGTCTTTGCATAAGACACTCCATCCTAATTGAATTTTCACTGGCTGTTAGTACCTTTCCTTTATTGACTATCTCCCATTTATCTTGTATGCAGTTTGTTCATGCACTGTTGTTTGCATGTTGTCTACCGAATTAAACTGTGAACTAGGGGAGAACAGGGACAGTTTGGGGGGCAGGGTTCAGGGGGCTGCCTTTCTTTGTATTCCCCAGCACTTATCACAGTGCCTGGCATATAGTAGATGCTTAACAAATACTTGTTGACTTCATTTGACATGTCCCTTCCCAAAAATAGTCCCATGATTTTAATCAATGCAAATACTAATGGAGGATTTTTAGAGCTGCCACTTCAACAAATTGCTTTAACTTCAGCTTATCTGGGTTTATTACCATTGGTTTAGCCTACCTTTAAAGACAGCCCATGTTTGCATACATCATATAACATATCAGGCAGTAACATTTATACTATCTTTACTTAATGACCTTCTGTCTCTTAGGGTACCATAGGGCACCATCACTGATTAGCTGCTCTGGGAACTATCAGGCTCACCAGGCAGCCAACCAGGCACCACTATTGTTCCACTGCTAACTTTGAAACCATAACTCTGACCTTCTTCTGCCAGCCGAAAAGCCTGCTGGTGCCCAATTTGGGAAAACTGGATGCTGCCCAGAATAATACTTCCATGGAAAATAACAACACTCCCCAAATCTTCCATCAGAAGGCAGGCATCTGTACCCTAGCCTTTTTTTTGGACCTAGGAACTACCTTAATTCTTCTAACAATTACTGCAGGATCAAGATGGAGCCACCCTTGTGTAGCTAAACACAAGACCATCTACCACCAACTACCTACCTACCAGGGCTGGAGTTTGGGTATATGTGGTTCAGAGAACTTTCCAAAGAAGGTCTGAGCCCAAAGCATAGTGAGGAGGAAGATACATAAGAAGGGAAAGGAGTATAAAAGAAGAACAAAGAACAAATTAATAAGTGACACAGTCACAGAAAAGGATCCACAGAGAAAGCAGGATAGGATAGGGATGGGGGGAACAGGCAGAAATGTATAAGAAAAGGTCATAGCATGAAAGAAATAGCTGTCATTACAGAAAATAGGGAATAGAAAGGAGGAATGGAAGGAAGGAAGGAAGAGGAAAAAGAAATAAAAGAATGAAAACTGAAACTGCTACAGGTGAGACAGGGAAGAGTGAGAGAAAGAGAGAAGGACAAAGAAACAGAAAAATCAGTAAAAGATGAAATACTCCAATATTAGGAATAACATGAAAAACTACCGTCTACGAAAACACTCAAAGAAAAAAAATATTTCTTTTAATTATTGTTTTAATATATTGACATTCATAATCCATTTGAGGTAAAAACCACCACCACACACATACATACATACACCAGTGCACTAAATTGGGAAAGGAAAAGAGCATTAAATGCAACCGAACTGACCTGGATTTCTGAAAACCTGGAGGGGGTAGATAGAAATTTAAGGCTCTCTCCCTCTCTACCTACAACCTCTGACTGGTCTGAACTTGCAATTTGTTTTACAAAAAAAAAAAACACCTAACTTGTTTTTTATGTTTTCCCCCCTTTGGAATGGGAGTGAGTGTGGATGATTATCACACTTTTCACATTTCCTTTTCAAAATTTCTGCACCCGCCCCTACAAAAAAAAAAAGTCAGTTTCATTGTCACGTCTACTTTTTAATCGATCTTTCAGCTTAGAAGGGAGAGCCGCGCCGTTTTGCCCACGGCCTAGTTACGAGTACATACAAGGGAGTTCATGTCACACGATTTCTCCTTCAAGGATGCACTCTCTCTCCAGAATCCATTCTTTAAAGCCCAGAATAAGCGACCCGGCTGTACCCCACCCCGTAATCATAAGGCATCTGGTGGGGAGGAGGTGGGGTTGGCAGGGCACAGTCAGGGAAGAACTGGGCGAAAGGCGTCAGGTGGCCCGCGGTGTCCTCTCCCCCGGGGAACCCAGACTGGAAGCAGCGGAGTCTGAAGTGCCGGGGTACAAGGGGCGCAAAGTTTCGCTCAAGGTCAAGCCGCCGCCCCCACGATTGGAAGCAGGGGCAGGCTTCTTGGCTGGGGGGCACGGGGTGCTCCAGGGCTCTGAATATAGCAAGCCTGCTACCACGGTGGGGTGCGGATCGTATAGGATGTGTTCCAGCTCCTGGGGGGCCCGCACGGCAGCTGGGAACAAGTCGAGAGGCTCGGAGGGCAGTAACCCCCCAACCTCTCCTCCCGCACAGTAATCTGGGCTCAATAGCTCGAAAAACTCCACCGCCTCGCCGCCTTTTTCCAGCTCGCGAAGGGTCACACCGCCCCCCGACGGGCCGCATCCACCCGCCCTAGATGGTTCGGTGAAGAAGGACGGGGGCAGATTTCGATTCCGCAGAGGGACTTTCTTGCCCCCACCGGCCCCAGCTGCTGCCACAAGTGGACCGCCTCCTTCGGCTCCCACGCCGCCGCCCCCACCTCCTCCTCCAGCCACCGTAGCCAAGGTTCCGGCTCCTCCTTTCTCACCACCATTGCCTCGAACCTGGTGCAAAGACTCGAAGAGGGCAGCCAGGCTCTTGCTCTGCAGACTGGCGGCCGCTTGGGACCCCTCCCGCTTCGGGGGTGCTTTGCCCTGAGGACCTGGGGCTGCGGGGGAGGCAGCAGGCAGTCGCTTCGGGGGCGCCTCGGGAGCCCCAGCCGGGACAGCAGCTGCGGGGCCAGGGGACGGAGAGACGGAGGGGGCAGGGCCCGAGGAAGAGGCCGAAGACGAGGTCATCATACCAGTGCAGCGCTTGATCTGCTTCTGGAGATATTTGCGATGGTTCACCTTCCGCTTGGACTTCACGGGCTTGTCCAGAGCCAGCTTGATGTTGCTGGATGCCGAGTCGATGAAGCTCAGCAGGTCCCGAGTAGCCTCCCTTAAGTCCCCGCCCCCGCTCCCGCCGCCGGCTCCCTCGGCAGCCACAGCTTCACCAAGCAGGGCAACCCCCAGTCCCCCCAGCCTCGTCCTCCTCGTAGCAGCAGCCCTTGTCCAGGTCTCCAAAGTCCATCCCTAGAGCCCCGGGAGATCCGGGGAAGCAAAAGGGGATGAAGTGATGGGGACTGAGGATAGCCGCCTGTACAGCCATCTTCGAAGCCGCCCAGCCCCGGCTCCGACTTTTTCTGCCCGGGTCTCAGTAGCTTAGTTGGCGCCTAACTTCGCTTTCCAATGGGAACTTCTTGGACGCCGGGAGGTTGCTCCCTTGGGCGTCCACAGCCACTCTCCCACTCCCCAGGCCTTAGTTCAGCTCACTCCCCATCCAGGGTGGGCTTCGCAGCAGCTGTATCCCTTGCTCCCGCTCCCGAGACTGCCTAGCGCAGCAGACTGTAGCCCTCTGTGCGCTCCGAAGCTGGGATCTTTTCTCTAGCTCCCAGGGGAGCTCATTAGATCTTGTAAACGGGAGGGGAGGGAGGGAACGAGTGGGGGGGGCGGGTGAGAGGGAGATGCGTGCTGACACTGTGAAGAGGAGGAGCCAACAGCTCCTTCTTTTAGTTTAGTTTGAGTGCCCCCCAACCCTTATTCGTCTCTCCTACTCCTTGTGTTAACCCTTTGGTTTCGCGCTTCCTGAGAACCTCTAAAATCGCCCTCTGGAATTTTTTCCCACTTAGCTCCCAATGGCAAAGGAAAGGAGATGGAATCTCCCCGTCTCCGCCTCTTCTCCCACCCCCAACCCCCCTAACGTTTACTTTATCCTAGACTTACTTAAGTGTCCTTTGCCTTGCTTCGCCTCCGTCAAAGAGCATCTTGAAGATGGGTACATTCTAATTTTTGAACAGGAAATTCTTCCGCTGTCCCCACCCTCACCCCTGATCCTTTCCCCAAACCAGAGCAACTGTGCCTGACCCTGTGGTGTCACCCAGTCCAGGGCCCCAGCTAAAAAGAGGATCAGCAATAGAGAGGCTAGCTCCAGAGCAGCACAACTGGCCCTGGAATGGAGAGACACAGGCCTCTGGCCCTAACCCCAGGGCCTTAACCCCAGCACTTTGACCATAAGTCTGCCTTTAGCCCCAAGTGGGTCCATTGCTGCACCCCTCTGTACCTAGCTGTGTAGTCCTCGCTACAGCTTGGAAACCAACATTCTAATCCCGCTCAATCCCTTTTAGGTTAATTTGAAAGATTTTCTAGCCGTCAGCGTCAAGTCTTGATAGTTTTTACTTTGTCGTTCACATCTCCCATAAGCAATAATGTATGAAGCATGTGTGACTTTGTCAATAACTACAAGGAAAGGAGCTTCCTGTGCACATAGAGGTCACGAACAATTCCTCAATGAGGAGTTTATTCCTAGAAAGTTATGTTACTTGTTAATCACAGTGTAGCATGTAGTGTAACAAGGGTGATCAGGCAAACTATGGGATCTGCTGAAGGATAAGTCCCTCGCAACAGAGCCAAAGTGTACGTGCTATTGGAGGAGAGGAAGTCGAGGAGGGTCTGCATAGTCCAGTTAACCAGGGCTTCCACTGATCAATCCTATTATACTCAGAAGTAAGAGGGGGAATTTGAATTCAGAGCTTCCTGACATCAATCCTATATCTCTATTCACTCTGCCTTGTCACCACTTGATTAGACTGTTCCAACAGCCCCCTCCCTACTCCACTCTTTCCTCCCTCCAATTCTTCTTTCACATATCTACCAGATAATTTCCAGAGACATAGATCTGCTCATGTCATTCATCTCAGGATCCTTCAATGGCTCCCTATTCCTAACACTGTCAAGTCCAAACTCATTCACTTGATATTCATGAAATTCCATGATCCAGCACCACTAATTTTCTAATCTTAGCTCACACTCCTCCACCCTAAGGATTCTATAATTCCTCTAAACTGGACTACTGACTGCCCCCTGCCTCCACTGTCATGCCCAACCTTTGCTTGCTTGTCTCCAAGAGGAAAAAAGGATGAGAGAAGCAAGTAAGTCAGTAAGGAAGAATAGTTGGGGAAGCTATGATTATAGAATGATAGCCCTTGCGTCCTGATTATATAACATGTGAGAATCAATCAAAAAATGACAGCTGACAAGCTGTGTTAGAAATTTAAGTGGGAGGGGGGTATGGTGTAGCAGAGAGAGTATGGAGAGAGAGAGAGAGAGAGAGAGAGAGAGAGAGAGAGAGAGAATGAGAGAGAGAGAATATCTGTGATTTCTTTGATATTGGAAACCATGGTTTGGAGAAGGTCCTTCTTCCAGTGCAGATCAGCAGCTGTCATGCGAACTAGAATCTTAGAGAGTTGTCTGAGGCACTGAAAGGTTATGACTTGCCTATGCTCAATAAATATGTGTCTGAGGGAGGACATAAACTTTGGTGCGGCTTGACTCTATGGCCAGCTCCCTTGATCTGCTACACCAAGGATTCTCAAACTTTTTGGTCTCAAGACCTCTTTACACTCATCAAGATTGAGGATCTCTCCCAAAAGTTTTTTTGTCTTTTTAGTGTGGGTTATGTCTATCAATACATACAGTATTAGAAATTAAAATGTCAGTATAATTATGAAAATAGTTTTTACCTTGAGGACCCCCTGAAAGGGTCTCAGGGACCCCCAGTGGTCTTCAAACCTCACTTGGAGAACCACTGCACTACACCATACACAGACAAACACACACACAACTCTCATGTGAAATGTGAACAACAATACTTAAACTACATACCTCACAAGGTTGTTCTGAGGGATGAGCTTCATAGGTCAAATACTATGATACTGAAATTTTTTATTCTATCTTACAGCTGTTGTGAACTTTTTTTATAAGCCTAAAAGACATATTAATGTAAGGAAGTATTATTAGTAATGTTTTTGCAGGATGTAGACCTGGGGTTTCATTGATTTAGGGAACTCCTGGTAAGAAAATTCCTTTTACCAATGCAGATCCCCATTTTTCAACTTAAAGTCTTAGCGAGTTGCCTGGGAGCACTGAGAGGACAAGTGATTTATCCAGGGTTACACAGCCAGTATATGTCAGAGGCAGGCCTGGAACCCAAAGTCTTCCAGACTCTAGAAGAAGACAAATAACCTTCTTCAAAATAACTGTTAAGTACTCCATTTGACAAGTGAAAAATCTGAGTCTTGGGGAAGCTAGATAGAGCTCTGTCTGTGGAGTCAGGAGAACCTGAGTTCAAATCTAGCCTCAGACACTTGACACCTACTAGCTGTGTGACCCTGGGCAAGTCACTTAACCCTGATTGCCTCACCCAAAAAAAAAAATGAAAAATCTGAGTCTTGGAGAGGACTGCTATCTATTTACTATACCAAGCTGCCTTTCTATTGATAGGAATAATAATAAGTTAAAATATCTGTTGACTTTACTTAAGTAGATAGTATGCTTGCCTAAATCCAACCTCAGTTTCCAATGGCTTTATTACAAAATTTGCCTTTCCTAAGCTACCTCTATGCTTCTTACTTTTGCACAGTAACATCATACCAGCATTGTCTAAGTTTAGATAAAGAGACTGCCCATTAGCTCCTTCCCCTCCTCATTGAATGAGCATGCTCAGTTGAGTGGATGTGACATTGATACGTTTCACTTCCTATTGGGAAGAGAGTGACTTTCCGATCCAGCCAGCTCAGGGGGCTGTTTACAGAGCCTTCAAGTCGAAGCTCTTCAACACCAGTGATGCATAACACTGAGCAGAGTGAGGATTAGTTTCCTTAGGAACCAAACCCCACAGGGGCCCAAGAGACTGCATTCACCTCCCAAAACCATTTTGGAGAATTGAGATTTCACATTGTTCTTTCACACTTGGATTTTCCAAATGTCCACCTGGAATCTGCCTTCTTTCTTGCAGCTCAACAGGGCAGCAGCAGCAAGTGGTAGCTCATCAATTTGATTTTCCCCTTTGCAACCTGGAAAACATTCCCTAAAAGACAGCGAATTGTGACTGTTGGTTGTGAGAGAGGAATCACTATATGAGTCCTTTTTCGACTTCCAAATAGTTATTTCTGAAAGGGCCACATCAGCTCATAATTACAAGTGTACTTCTATCATAAACTTTGGAGAAATAGTCCAAATTGTTGGTGTCTTCAGAAGAGTGAGATGAATTCCATGAGAAAACAATAGACAGGACATCTTAGAATCATAGGCTTAGAGCTAGGAGGGACTTTAAAGAACTTAGATCTCCCTCATTTTATAAATGAAGAAACTGAGGCCCAGAGAAGGACAATAACTTGTCTAAGGTCACATAGCTAGCATATGGCAGAGTAAGGATTCTAACTCAGGTCTTTTGAAACTACGCTAACTTTACCAAAGCTTAAGATTCCAATCTTTGTTCTTCCCTCCAAAACCAGAATAATATAAAGCACCTTTACAGGTTTACAAATCACTTTCCTCAAAATAACCCTATTAGGTATTCCTCTTGACAACAGAAGAGTCTGAGTCTTGGAAAGATGGAGTCACTTGCCCTAGGTTATGGAGCACTTAAAAAGCCAAGATTGAAACCCTGGCTGGCCCACTTTAAGTCCCACACTCATTCCACTGCACCCATATACTGCTTGAAGGCTTGTTACATGCTTCAGTGGCACGGGAAGGAGAGAAGACTGTGGGAACTGGTTTTCTCTAATGTATGTAATGTTTCTTAACTTTTTGTCCTGGGCCTCTTTGGCAGGCAGGTGAATCCTAGGGACCTTTACAAATGTTTTTAAAGGCATAAAATACAAACAATTACAAAAGAACCCTATTATATTGAAATTCTATTATCAAAATATTGAACAAGTTCATGAACCCCAGGTTAAAAACTTTTGGTCTATTGGGAAGAATTGCCTGTCCCAGGGTAGAGGGCCCTAGGTCAAAGAATCAGGAGACAAGTGGATCAGTTGTAGCTTTGCCAGAAAAGAACCTCGTGACTTTGTACAAGTCATTTCACATCACAAGGTTATGATCAGGTTGTGTAGTAAAATCATTTATCTTTAAGTACTTTGAAAAATCAGAACTGTATCTGATATTCCATATCTCTCCTCTGCAAAGAAGAGATAGAGGTGAATTTCACAGTCTCTTCCCTTGGGCCAAGCTTGGACATCATAATTAGATATCATAATTAGCTTTGGTTTTTTTTCCATCTACATTATTATAGTAATTGTGTATGTTGATTTCTTGGTTCTGCTTACTTTTTGTGGTTCAGTTGTTTCAGTCATGTCCAACTCTTCATGACCCGTTTGGGGGGGGGGGGGTTGGCAAAGGTACTGGAGTGGTTTGCTATTTTCTTCTCCAGCTCATTTTACAGATGAGGAACTGAGGCAGACAGGGTTAAGTGACTTGCCCAGAGTCATACATCCATCAGTGTCTGAGGTCACATTTGAACTCAGATCTTCCTGACTCCAGGCCCCAGGCTCTATCACCTAGTTGCTTTCTTTAGTTTGCAAAAATTAATTTCTTTCCATACTTCTCAGATTCTTCATTTTCTCTGTTTTTCATAATACAATATTATATCATTAGCCTTATATACCATAATCTCTCTGCCCATTCCCAATATATGGGCATCTACTTTGTTTCCAATTCTTTGCTACTACAAAGAGTGCTACTGTGAATTTTCTGGTGTACATGGGACATTTCTGTCTAGCTTCGTTGAGGTTTGTACCTAACAATGGGATGTCTGGGTCAAAGGAAATGAAAATGTAGTAAAAATGTTTAGCCCAACTCCAAATTAATTTCCAGAATGGACCAATTCACAGTTTCACCAACAATGTATTAGTATGCCTATATTTCTGCAGCCCCTCTAATATTAGCTATTTCCATCTTTCATCATCTTTACCAATTTGTTGAATATTAGGTAAAATATCATAATATCAAAATAATCATATTAAATAATTATAATAAATAACCAAATATCACAAAATATCATAATAATAAAATATTATTTTGATTGTATTTTTACAAAGAAAAATTATTTGAAACAATCTTTCATGTGGTTGTTAATAATTTCCTTTTTTTCTCTTCAGAACTATTTGTTCATATTATTTGACCACTTTTCCATTAGGTAATAGATATTTATACGTTTAAATACCTTTTACATCTTGAATAACAAACTTATTAGAGGTATTTGACACAAAGGGTTTTTTTTGTCTTAATCACATTAACTTTAAGGGTTTTTTGTCTTATCTTAGTCACATTAAATTTATTAATGTAAAAACTTTTCCATTTCATGCAGTCAAAATTACCTATTTTATCTTCTTATTCCTTGTTTGTTAAGAATCCTCTCAGCAGCCATTGTGGTAAAAAGCACTTGACTTGGTTCCCTTGGATTATTTTTTTATGGTGTGACTTTTAATATTGAGGTCACATATCAAACTAATTTACTATATGTTTTGTAAAATGATCATCTAAATTAGATTTTTGCCAAACTGTTCTCTAGCTTTCTCAGCAGTTTTTGTCAAATAGAAAGCTCTTCCTCCCAAGTAGTTTATGTTCTTGGGTTTATGAAACACTGAGTTACTGAGTTTAATAGTTTCTGAGTCTTATTTATATAGTTTATTCCACTAAACTACTTTTCTATTTTTTTAACCAATGACAAATAGTTTTGATAATTACTATTTTATAGCATAATGTGAGGTCTAGAAATGTTGTATCCTCTTCATTTCTACTCAGTTATTTACACTGAATTTCTAGGTATTTTATTCCTCCAAATGATATGTTATTTTTTTTCAAGCTGTAAAAAGAATTCTCTCAAACTTTGGATTGGTAGAATATTGATCTTTAAATTGATTTAAATGGCATTGTCATTTTTTAAAATATGGTACAGCCCAATTATGTGGTATTGTTCATTTATTTAATGAGTATTTTATAGTCATATTTACATAAAGTTTGAGTATGCTTTTGTAGACAGACTCCCAGACATATTATGCACTTCCTGGTCATTTTTTTAGTGGGACTCCTTTTCTATTTTTCCTCCATTTTGTTATTGTCATAAAATGTCTTTTTATTTAAAACTTTTATTTAATAAAACTGTTTTTTAATTGTTATTGTGGATTAATTTTGTATCCTACTACTTTCCTAAAGGTATTGTAAATCTTATGAGCTCTGGCAATCTTTATCTCAACCCCTATTCATACTAATAAGTTAGATCTCCCAGAGCAGGTCTAACTACATCTTCCCTTCAGGATTCTAGAGGTATCCTTATGGGGTTTGATTCTATCTTTCTGTCGCTATCAGCTCAAGCCCCATTCTAGCATGTTCTCCCCAATATTACTCAATAATTATAGTTAATATCCCCCTTATCATTGACACCCTTCAGTAATTAATACCCCAGCATCATTTAACCAATTAAAATCAATTAGCTTTTTTCAGTGGGATATTTACTGACAAGCTACAGCAAGGACAGAAGTCTAATAATTTCCTTCCTCCTCAGTATCCAGGGGCACACTTTCCTCTATGCCACCTTGGTCCCTAGGAAGAATGGGCTCAAACTGAAAGCATTACCTACATAGGAATCACACCACCAAGTTCACATCCACTTCTCTTCTGCATTAAGCAAGTTGCTTCAAGCTTTTCTCCTCGCAAGGCTTTAGTTGTCCATAAAAGTCATCATGGACACAGCTCCTGGACCTGTGCCTGCTCACTTTCTCAACTTTTTGAAGCTCCCAAGGTCTCAGCCTAGTCTGTTGTGTCTCCAATACCACTTCACTCCCAAAAGGAAAACTAGATATAAAAGAAACCATGTATTTGTGGTGATTCAATGCCACTTGTGTGTTCTCTCTGTCTCTGTCTCTCTGTCTCTGTCTCTCTCTGTCTCTCTGTCTCTGTCTCTCTCTCTTTCTCTCTCTCTCTCTTTCTCTCTCCCTCTCCCTCCCTCTTTCCTCACTCAGATGCAGTCAGGCAGGAAAGAGGGACCCAATCATCCAATTAGTGCCTTTTAGGAGTGTTAACACACAATCAAAAGGCTCCTCCTCTTCACGTGTTATGCAAATTGGAAATAATACCTGCACATGCTCTGAAATCCACATAGAGATTATATCCGCAGAGCATTCTGCACAGCCTTATGAGGCCTGGGCTCTCTCTTATCAGCCAATCCAAATTCCCTATTATACAGTTGATTGTTTCAATTAGTTTCTTCAACGATTATTAGTATGATACTATGATATCATTAGCAAGTAGATACAACTTTGTCTCCTCTCAGCTGATAACGTTGGTTTGTTTTGCTGAACTTTTCTTACTCTTCATTTTTAAGTTCTTTATTACAAGAGACAGCTTATCATAGGATCTCCTGATTTAAAGCTTAGTAGTAACTTAGAGGCCATCAAGTAGAATATGCTTATTTTACAGACCAAGGAACTAAGCCCAGAGAAGTTAAGTGACTTGTCCAGGGTCATATAAGTATCAGAGGTAGGATTCGAATGCTGGTCTTTCTGACTCCAAGTTCAGTTCCCTAGCCACACCACATTCTTGTTAAGTAGGGAAGAGGAAGAAATACATTCAGAAATGAAAGTGATGTAAACACAAAAGATAACAATAAAAATTTTAATTTAATGAAGTGTTACATACATATAAATATGTATATTATTTTATGCTTATCACTCAGATGAATCTCTTATAAATTACTTTTAACAATTTGGTCAACGTTGGTTGTTTCTGAGACTCGTTTACAGGCATTTATATTTTTTCTTTTCGGTTTCCCAAACAGCCTGTGACTTTGTGGGTACCCTCTGCTTCTCAGAGCTCCATGATGCAACACTCAATGAAACAGACATGCCCTCCCTGTTCAGTGACCTAGACTTTCTCTGGTTACCTCCTTCCTTCCAAATCCTTCCCTCCCTACTTTCAATCAAAAAACCAACTGGATGCTTGCTCTAAGAGCCTGCCAGAGGACAACTGTCTCAAAACTGGAACTAGTGAGAAGCTGTTGGATACCACCATCTAGGGGGGTCAAACTTCCTCCCCAGGACAGCATCTTTCCTTCCTGATAGTGTTCCAGACTCTATGCCTCAAGGAGACGTTATGGTGCGTTATGGTCTTCCACCACCCTATGTCCATCAGAAGGACCTGGCTCCCTATCCCCATAAACCTTTTGTCCCCCACGCCCAGACCTGCCTTCCTTCCCTCCCAACTATTCCAGGAGCGTAAATAGGTCTGTCTGGGGGTAAAACTGCATCCTTTCATCCTGTTTCAGAACAAGTTCAAAAGCAATTGGACTGTCTTCTGTCTAACTGCTAAAGCCACCCTCACTTC